ATTGTTAAAACCAGAGTGGATGAAACCAAGAGACATACGACGACCCGAGGCTGACATCAAAGTGAGGGGCGGGGACGGGGAGGGGGAGTGGGAGGAGGACGAGGTGCGAGGGAGGGGGAAGGGGGTGGGGTGGGAACCCTCGCGCTGGCACTCTCGCTGGTCACCGCGTACGCCCCCGAAAGAGCCCTCCGGACCCACGGAGTCATTAGCATTTGTCTGGACGTCAGCAAAGAGCGACTGCAGGCGGAACGGACAGGCGGAGTGAGTGATCGACAAACTCAAAAAACAAGCTCGAAACCTCAAAACGCGGATGAAATTTGACACTAACTGGAAGAGTGCTTCTTCGTACATAAATGTGTATAATTGTATGCATAATTAAATAAAAAAGTACACCTTTATAGTTAATGCACAACATTTAACATAAATCTGTTTTGTATGTGTACATAATTAAGCTTGATTTTGTGCCCAAATCCGTACATCACTCTAATCACTCCAAATGACATGTTTGAAAAAGTACATCCTAGTCGGTGAGTAAGCCTACCCGCTCGTCCCCCGAGTGGACTAACTAGGACCTGCATGGGTGACCCTGCAGGACCTGTCTGCACGGAAGAGGACGCAGTGCATATGACGTTGACTTTATACGCTGTGTTCGTGTACCGCACTGTCAAAATCAGCTCTAAACGGACAGTACCACAACCGCAAACTCCCCCTTTTGGCGATTATTATTGCTTTATTGTTGTGATAGATAGTAGTAAGTAAGTTCGACAGCCTAGTGGTTAGCGCAATGGGTTCCCAGGTCCAAGGTCCGATGTTCAACTCCCCATCAGTAAGCTACTTCTTCAGCTTGGACTAGCCTGGACATTGTTTTGGACAACGTCTGGACAGTGTATAGGCCTGCTAGGAGGATGGACAAGGCTGGACAGAAAATGGACACAGATCCGTTGTCCAGTTTGTTTCATTTCCCGGACACCGTCAGATTTGGACAGTCCAGGACATCCGTGGGACATGTGTCCCGATAATGTCCCGTGGCCCCATCAGGGAATCGTGTTACCAATCTGGTGTTTGCATGCTAGCCTGCAGCAGTAGTACTCCCGTGTCGGCCGTGCAGTCCATGAACATTATCCAGTTAGCATTTTTCACGGTGATTCCGCACTATGCACGGCGCGGAGGCGATGCATGCATCGTGCACGCACGATGCACGGTGCACGATGCACGATGCTCGCGCATGATGCATGCATGATCGTGCATCGTACATCGATGCATGCCTCGTTCATCCGTGCATGCACGATAATTTCTGTCAGGGCCGGGGAGGGGGGCGGGGGGCGGTTAATTTTCATTTCACGTGTGGTTGGTACGACCTACGACTCCCTAACACGGAACACATTACCGTGTCTACTAGAATCCTCTAGCTGCACACAAGCACACTCCGGCCCAAACCGTGGACTA